CCCCAAAACCCCAAAACCCCAAAACCCCTATTTGTTAAAATACGATTTAAAGAATGAATTTAATTAAAGGAGTTGAATAAATAATTTGGTTGATTAATTTGTAACTCCAAATATCGATTCCAAATACCCTTTCAATCGATGTGCGCTCTTAGTTTTCACTCTGGGAGAGTCACTTTAAATATTTCAATCTCGCTCACTGTGAAGTAATGAGATCCAGCAATATAATTATTTGCCTCTTCTGATCCTATAGCCATTCCATCTGGTAGCTAGTAACTATTTCCAAAGTTTGAATAACTGCTAGCATTGGCATTGCAGTCATTGTAAAGCAAAATGTCGTAACCGAACCATAGCATGAAACCATTGTCATAGTAAACAGCTTGGTTTTTATTCTAAGACAGTTCATGTTTTGTCTTCTTAGTCAAGCTAAAAATAAATGCTTTATCGTCTTCCACAAAGGCTCCAGCTGATTTCCATCCTAATGAGCAGTAACCTCCGAAAACTTGATCATGCTGAGATTTAATCAGGCCAACAATGGGTCCCTTGTCGTCAATCAATTCGTGCATTTTCTAAGCACTGAATGTATCTCTAGTTGCTTTGTATAAAAGTTCAAACTTAGTATCTTCTGCTTTCTCTTCACCGTGAATCCACTGCTTTAAAAGTAGTTCATGCTCGTTAGTAATGTTAAAGACAGCAAGTGTATCTTCGTTGAAATCAGCATCACCTTTCTCCTTGAATTTTAACTAGACCTCTCTAATTTGAGCTTTATCCATATGAGGTATCAACTGATCTTAGACGTCTCTGAAGATCTTAATAAATGAGTCTGAAGTGCTGCTCTTTTCCTTTAAGTTTAATTCTTCAACCTCAGATATCAACTCACTTAGCTTGTTTTTTCTCTCTTGGAGTCTATGTAGTGCCCTCTCGCAAAATCCTTAGATATCATTAGTCACCACATGGTCAAGTTTCTTGGCGTGATCGGCATGAGTCTTGTAGGCACACTAGTGGCAGATCATTTATCTATGAGTGTTGCAGTAGTACTCAGCGATAATATCTACATGGTCTTAGCACAATATCCAAAGCATATTATTTTTAGTCTTAAGCATCTTCTGAACATTTTCTTTGAACTTCTTGGGGATAATGATGATTTCTTGATCAACTGGACACACAAGTTTGCTTTCCTGAGGAAGGAGAAGAGGTTCGAAACAAGATAAACAGATAGAATCACCACAAGGCAGTATAAGTTACTGCTTATCTATAGTGTTGAATCTTTCGTTACACTTTGCGCATCGGTAGTCTGATTCCATATTCTGATTAAAAGTTAATTAAACTATTTTATTAAATTTCTGATAACTTTTCTACATAGTTGATACAAAACATGGGGTTTTGGGGTTTTGGGGTTTTGGGG